CGGCAAATTAAAGAAGCCATATATCTGGACGCGATACTTAGCAAAATCTACCGTTTTCTGAAGTCATTCGAAGTGTTCAATGAACGCTGCGTCAACACACAAAGGAGGGAAATAGTAATTGCCAACTAAATAGTTGTAACCATCACTCGCTGGAATCTCAACCCAGACACACTCCGCATAAAATTCCAGATACACCCTCCGGTGGGGTTGAACTACACACTTGACTGCAATAAGCACACTACCCCCAAAGTCATGCCTGTTATATCGTAGTCTCTATCCTGACGATGCACAGAATAACCCGAGGGAAATAACTATTATCAGAAATGCCGGCGCAGAGCCAAGTCTCCGGTAAACAAACTCGATCAACTCAGCTTGACAGAATATTCGACATAAACTCGGAAGACATCGAACGCATACCACGCATATTCTGGTAGTACACTTCGGGCGTTTTAAACATTTTCAGCTGCTAAAGGCTCATCCACAAAGACTCAAAATCTGCCCAGCCTGCCAAAAAAAAAAAAAAAACGGGTGAAAGATTGAGCCTTCTGGCCATAACTCCGGCTTATACAAAATGTTGAACACTGACTGGTCACCAGAGAGGTGAAACGACGCGTACAAATCAAATTTTGGCTTTAGTTCGGTAACAATCACCGGTTTGCTGGCTAAAAAGGGGGCCACAGAACTCTCAATGTCTGCCACAGACGCACGAGGGTCCAGCCTGGACACAAAAAGCGCCTTTGCGACCTCTTTGCGAGGGCTGCAAGTACCTTGTCGGATTTCGCCGCCCCACTTGACGCTGGAGTTCGCCGTTTCCGCTGTGTGAAGCCGTCGTCGTCAATTCAAGAACCAGCCGGACAGGCTTCATGTATTTCCCCAGTCGCCCCTGTAGGAGCAGAAAGGAGCATCGCAGTCCGCCCAAGTGGTGGGCGACTCAACGGCTGCTTCCGTGATCTCAGTGGATTGTCTCACCTCCCTGAAGGTCAATGGCTGCTTTCCTGGCACGGACGTCGAGGGCAGCTCTCCCGGCACAGACGCAAAGGATGCCGCTGCTGCGGCGTACGTTCTTAGAGGTCTCGTAGCCAAAGGCAGATGTTCGAAACTTCTCTTGTTGAGCAAGCTGATTTCCGAGCGCATAAAGTTGTTCTCAACCTTGAGGCTCTTCGCCTCCGCAGTCAAGACGTCAAACTTGGTGGCCATAGCATTTAGAAGATGGACAAAGTCAGTTGAGGCCGGCGGCGTCGACTCAGATGCCGTATTTTCCGTAGGTTTACGTAATCGCAATATATCGGCCCCGTCATGGCTGTCGCTGTCGAGCCGCTCGTCCCACGAAGATCCTCGGCATCTAAAGCATTCGTAGCATTTATAAGCACTTTTGCCTTTTTGCATTAGAAATTGGTACTCGCCTTTACCAACGACGATACATTTGCAAAGGTGACGCTTATTGCAAGTTCCCGAACAAAGCAGAAATCGTTGCATACCATAAGAACGCTCGGAGCACGTACCACACACGTCTGTCGGCATCGTTATCAGGAGCTTGAATGAGCTCTTGATAACGATATAATAATGTGTCGATCAGCAAAAAGCTGCCTGCAATTACGTGCGTGCTGTTTTTGCGCGTACTCTTCTTTCACTCTGCTTTTTTGTTGCTCTGCTGTTTTGACGCCGTGCTCTTTTGTCGCGTCAGTGTTGTTGCTGCGCTGTTTTGACGCGGTGGTTTTTTGACACGTCCTTTTTTGATCGCGCTGTTTTGTAGCGTGCTATTTTGTCCACTGCTGTTCTGTCGCGTTCCCAAAGGCCACTTTGGTGTTTCAAGCTTTCGCTGTCCTTGTCAAGCTAGGACGCCGGCTGGCAGAACTTGAATCCGAAGTTGCGTTTTTTGGCCTTTGCTTATGGAAGAAATTCGTCCACCCGGAGCTCTTCAGGGATCTATCGTCACCGGCAATTCCCTGGACCACCAAACAGAAAATCTACAGAATGTGCAGGGACAGTAGGCCTCAAAAGATTCTGGAGATCCGCAACGCAAGTGAGAGACTCTGAACTCTACTCCCCGGGACGTATTTTCGACGCCACAGGGACTTTCAACACTGGAGCAACGTCAGGAGGGCCCACTTCAACCGGCTTTGGGATGCTAGGCGGAGACACGTTTTGGACAGCATCTAGAGGCAGAACGCCTACGGCATTAGACTTTGTAATGTGTTGCATGGAACTCACAATTCGCAGGACAGTCGAATACTCATTGATCAAACGTATGTAGATGACTGTTGGAGCGTATCGTTTGGCAATCTTGTCAACCCTTATGAAGCACCAGTGTCCCGGACAACTGAAAAATTGTTGGGTAGGGGGCCTGAATTTTGTGTAAATATGAGACCATCTAGGGTTTGATGTCTTTTCCTCAATTCAGTCGGTAGCAAGAATGGTCAAACATGAAGAAAATGCAGCCTTCATAGATTAGACGGTTGAACGGTTGGATGGAATTATGGGCAGGGATTACCCGGGAGGAAAAAAGGAACTTCGGCCAGATAAAAGTGTCAAAAAAAATTTAAAGTAAGTCGTTGGAATTAGCGCCAACAGACAAAAGGGGGAGGTTGCGGTCTTATCCCGATCAGTCCTCGAGAACCAGGCAAAAGAAGCGCTGGGTTCTCTCTTCTGTGAATCGGGAGGAGACGTTGGGAAGTATAGGAAAATTATTTCAAAGGTCCTGAAGACAGAGGATTTCGAGGGTATGGCTAAGCGTGAAGGGTTCAAGGCGCTCAACCATAAGCTTAAAGTTCTTCCTTAAAGACCATAAGCCGGAGCTTCCGTCTCGAACGATCGTAAATGAGAATCGAACATGGCAAAAAGTGGTGTCCAAGTTTCTTCAATAAGGTTTAGAGTTCGTTCCTTTCGAAAATTCACTCTCACTAAAAAACACGAACGAATTGATTGGCATCTTGGACGTGCACCCAGTGCTCAAGCTTATCTATGGATATCAAGGATTTATACTATTTGTTAGGGAGTGATTGACTAATGAAGAGATTGAAGCAGGCACTGAAGCTCAACTTAGTGAAGTTTGAATCAGGATCGGGCATCTCTATAGACAGTGTTTTGACAATTTTGGATTCGTATCTGCGTTCTACGATTGTGAAATATGGGGGCAAGATGCACTTTCAGAAACAGGGTGTGCATGGGTTTGTCTCTGGCACCGATACTGGCAGAGATCTATTTGAATTCGTTGGACTCCGCCGTGGTTAATGTTCTGAAAGGAGTACCCTCGGAGAGCTATGTGGTAAAGCGGTATGCCGATGACATTGTGGTATGTTCGTTTTGGAACGGAGTAGCGGAGATGGTGGAAGGTTTAATAAGAAAGTCAGATCCTGCATTGCGTTTCACCGGGGAGCAACCAGAGAAAGATGGATTGCAATATTTGGACTTACGAATTTATGTAGGGGGAGGTTTGTGCTGGGAGTATGGAAAAAAACAATCCGAAACCTGTTCTTCCAAGAACAAGTCGTCATTCAAAAACTGTGAAATTGCGAGTGGTAAGGTCACTGATCAAGAACGCATTGAACAGGTCCTGGATCCATTACTAGCAAACTCAGTGAAAGGGCAGTTTGAAAGGCTATGTAACGCGGGGTACAAGGAAGGCTACATCAGTAGGCAAGTAGCTCTAATTTCAAGAAAGGGTAAAATGGGATAAAAGATTAAGGATTAAGATATCGCACAAAGTAAAGGCATTTGCGAAGAAGTTTGGAGTCGACGTTGTGTTTGGCACGGATTTCAAGTTATGCAACCTAACCCCTTTTTTACAGAGAAGAAATGGTGCCAAAAAGCACATAGGGAAAACTCTGTTCGATGTGAGAGTGGGGTGGTTTATAAAATCCTTCTGGAGTGTTGATTCAAATACGTGGGTCAAACCTCCAGATGTCTAAACAAACGATTAACAGAGCACGAACGTAATTTCAAAATCAAAGCTCCGAACTTAGAAATAGCAAGACATGCTCAGGAGTGCAATATTTGTACGATTCATAGGTCAGAAATGGACGTCGTGCACAAGGAATTTAATGTCAAGAAAAGGGTAGTAAGAGAGAGTCCGAATAAAAACGATGGGCAGTTGTATAAGCCAGGCGTCACTGCAGCTCAGTCGCGCATCCAAAGCCTTCCTGCGACTTTATATTTTGGTCGTTTGCTCTTTTGTTTTTAAAGGGGGAGACGGAGGGCAAGAAATGGTGTGAACCGTGTTTGTCAGTCTGAATCAGGTGTTAGGTGGCGGCAAGTTGATCTTTTGTGTGTTTCCCCCTGTTCAAGTCGCTCTTTTCCTTGCCCTTTTGGGGGATAAGTGTGTCGCCTATAAATGTGTTCTTATTTGTTTGTGTGTGTGTGTGTGTGTCTGCGGTTTAAGTTTGAAAAAGGAAGTTTGTGTCCTTGGAGAGCGAAGGCTGCGTGTGCGGGGGCTAACGACCTTCGGAGGGGGGTATATAAGAGAGGGAACTGAATAAAAGTTTTAGCTGTGTTTGAGACGTTGTCTTCTTATCACTTTGCCTTTCTCTCACACGTTTTGATGCTTCACAGTTTTATCGCCCCTGTCTCGGGTAATTAAAAAAAAACAAAACAATGATAAGTTTTTTAACGCGATAAACATTTCCTGTATAAGAGGGTGGGCGCACAACTTAATTTTTTTTTTAAACTTTCTCAACAGGACTGGAACAATTCTGCAATGGTTCGACTCGTCTATTGACCATAATTTTTTATTCATTGGTAGAAATTAGCTCAAAACCTCTACATATGTTTTCAAAAGAAAATGGTTTTCACAAATTAATTTACTTAGCTTTTCTGCTACACGGCTGAGTTTCCAGGTCACTTAATATATAGAATATGGCATTTGCTTTGTAAATTATAACTGAGATGTGGTGCTTAGACAACTAACTGTATTAATATGTGAAGTGAGTTTAAAACAAAAACGTTTCTATTATACTTATGATGTGTTTTAGGTTTCATTAGCATATATTTGTTTCGTAACTCACGCTTGATTTGATGTTGCAATCATGAAACTGGCGTTGCGTCTCGGGGAGAGTGCTCCATACTTCTTCAATGTTCGCTGTCGCAATGAAAATGTGTAAAACATCAGTTTTGCGCATAATTGGGTACAATTACAGAAGCCTAAAACACTTTACTTTATAATGAATGTCTTAAAAAATTTAGTAAAAACATCATGTTGTAAGAACACGGGAATTGAAATGTAAATTGGTAGCATTTTACGTATAATCTTGCCAATATAAAACGTCGTGTGTTCTTTTAAGTAGTTGGGCTAGTGAAACACACTCTAATAAACGTTTTGTTTTGGACATAACTATATTTTATTAAACAAAATCCTCAGTTCTTTATGATCCATTTAATGGAGGTAATTTTGTTCGAGGGGGAAATTAGAGTTACTAACGTAAGCAATTAAAACGGAATAAGAATTCTTTCTTTGTAATTTGATAAGAAAAATCGAAATATTTTCGACTATAGAAAATTCAATAGTGGTATGCTTGTGTATGAAAGGTTACACAAATAGGACCCAAAGCTTATGCTGCCTTGGACAACATACGTATTCAGCAGGATCAACTAAGTTACCAGAAATTGAGCAGTCCTGGGTTAATTAACCGTACAGTCACAGCAATAGCTGCGAGACGTCACAGAGAAGTCGCCAGGCATTAGCGTCGTGTTCATGCACAGTGGGGCAGTGGGGTGCGTGAGCAAAAGCGTTCGAAACAAAATAGACATTTGTTTTGGTCCGAGCGCTTTTGTTTTGTTCCATTTTCTACCGAATCTTTTTTTGCTTGCGCCTCCTGGCACTAGCTCTTGGCATTGACAGTGATAAGACGGCGTTTTGTTATACGATATATTTTTTTCAGAGAGCGGGTTAAGTGGGCATTGGATTCTACAAATACGTTAAGTCTAGAGGGGGCCATTAAAGCTGTGGCGTGGCTTAGTGGTAACGGTCCTGCTTCACACGCCGATAATTCTAGTGGGCGGGGGGCAGTTTTCTTTTTTTAATTGACAGCATCGACGCCGCTCGTCCTACATCTCCATTTACAATATCAACAACGACAACTACTACGACACCAGCAACGGAAGTCATTTCCAGTTGTGAGAAGAGCCCATAACAGCCATCGCTGAGAAAACACTACCAATATTCCTCGAAAACGTTTGCCGCATTACGGGTTTACGAAATCAGAAGTCATCTCCTCCACTGACACGCCACTGCATCTTTCTGCATCATGCGTCTTTCATTATGGCTCAGCGTAAGTCACGTCATTTTTACAAAAATGCCATATTTGACGCTCTGTCCACGAGCTCATAGATGGTCCAAATCTTGAAGTTCCGACAATTCCTCCAAATAAACCCTTCGGTGGCCTGTTTAAGGTGGCAATGATACGCAATTGTATTATATATCGTTTTTTTTGTCTGCAGATAACAGCAGATAGTTATTAGAGATTCTCAAAGAGAACTTTAGAGATCAGCAACCACTTATTAGGTTATATATCTTTGGAAAGTTTACTTGTCCAATTCTAGCATTATGCACCAATGCAGCTTAACTAAAACAATTATCCTGATGCTGTGTTGAAATCCAATAGCGCTTTGTAACCGATATTCTATTGGAGCAGCAGGCTTAACTGGAGTGAGATTGGCGTAATGTAAACATATTTGACATAAGATTTCTTACTTCCTCGAAGATAAATGTCATGAGTATATCTAAACAAATATTATTCCGGGTCCAATGTTGTATGAAATGAAATGCGCAACACCTGAACTTAGTTTTCCTGTGTAACACATCTACGACTATCGATGTGACCTTCAGGAAGACGCATAGTTATTGTGGACATATTAGTTAAGGTTAATACCGTGCCAGGAACCATGGCGACAGTGCGGCAGCCTTGTGATTCAGTGCGCCAGCTACACATATTACCTTCTTTTTGAACTTTAGAACGCTACGATCAAATACAGCTGATTAGACTAAATTGACACTGTAGGCTAATTGCTTCACCACAAGAAAGGGTAAATACGTTGCACATCAAGACGAAGACGGAGAGAAGAACACACAACGAGCGCTTGTCTTGTCTTCTCTCCCTTTTCTTTCTGAGTGCTGTACTTACCTCACCTAGAAGATTATTAGCTCGACGTGGAATGTGAAAAAGTGCACAACGGAATGATACGTGCAGTCAACACTTAAGTAAAGAAAGTGAAAGCCGTTTACAACTCCCTGTAACACCGAATTAGAGCGCAGCTCTTGAGGAGGAGGAGGAGGGAAGGGTACTGGGGGGTGAAGTGACCGGGGGGGGGGGGTCACGTGACCTTGGGGGTCACGTGACGATGCCGATGATGTCATCAGTGACGATGATAATGCGGACTCCGATGACATCATCAACGACGATGACGATGACGATGCGGATGCCGGTGACGTCATCAGTGACGTCACTGATGACGTCATTTGTGATGATGATGATGACGATGCGGATGCCGGTGACGTCATCAGTGACGTCCCTGATGACGCCATCAGCGATGATGACGATGACGATGCGGATGCCGGTGACGTCATCAGTGACATCAGTGATGACGTCATCAGCGATGATGACGATGACGATGCGGATGCCGGTGAGGTAATCAGTGACGTCACTGACGACGTCATCAGTGATGATGACGATGACGATGCGGATGCCGGTGACGCCATCAGTGACGATGACGTCATCGGGGAGGTCATGTGACCTCGGCGGGGGGTCACGTGACCCTGGGGGTGGTCACGTGACCTCGGGGGGGGGGGCGTGTCACGTGACTCCAGGGGGGGGTCACGTGACCTTGGGGGTCACGTGACCCTGGGACGGTCACGTGACCTCTGGGGGTCACACCTTGAGGGTCACGTGACCTTGCGGTGACCTTGGGGGTCGCGTGACCTTGGGATGACCTTGGGGGTCGCGTTACCTTGGGGTGACCTTGGTTACGCCGACGGCGACGGCGACGCCGACGCCGCTTAAGCCGGGAACGGGCCCCTAAGAGCTGCGCTCTAAAAGTAGAAATCAGTTTTGAATTCACCAACTGGTGGTGACTGAAAGAGGTTCGAGCTTTTTTTTTCACTCTATGGTCTTTGCCGTTATAGGCTGGTGGGTACGACAAGCTTCTCCTGTAACCGTGATAGTAAACGCCGCCATAAATTTAATAAAAAAATATTTGTACAAACTGAGAGTTGAATGGTTCAAGTGTGTTCAGACAATAAGATAAGCAATAGAATAATTCGCGAAAAATTGGTGGTTTTGTTAAAGAACAGGAACAAAAATAAACAGTCGAGTTAGTAAATCATTTCGCGTTTAGAATGAAGCAGGTAATAACCGGACAGCGCAAGTAGACGGGACGATCGCCAAGGGACGATCGCCGACAGGTAGATAAGCAGATACAAACGCGACTGAATTTACCAGAGCCCGAGTGCTGAAAATGCTAGTTTTTTTGATAAACATTCAAGCAACTGCATGAATGATTAAAAGATTAGATTTTTAAAAAGTTTTTGCTAGAGCCAAAAAACTTTTACGAATACTATTCCTCCTCTATTGATCATTCGAATAATTTTTGTTGCGAGGTCACGGTTTTGTTGTTTCCTCAGAGCCCGTTTTGACGAACAACATCCGCTCTGCTCACCGAAATGTTATACGCCGTTGGGCGTCCTCACATCAGTAACTCGGCAGAGTGAGTTTAGCGAAAAATATTTAAAAAAATATCGGAAAAAATAAAGCATGCTTTATCCGCCCTGTTGAGAAATCGAAGGATTTAAATTAAATGAACTTACACTTTTCTGCAATTTTGGGAATTTTCTGGCGTTTTTTCTTTCAGGAGAAAACTGAAGTTTTATTAAGAAGTGGGTACTTGATACGCCCTTTCATGTTTACGTTTATATTCCGCTTTATTTAGATTAGCTTTCTACACGATCTGATTCTAGTCATAAGAAGCGTCTCGATTCTTCAAGAGGGCATATTTTTCTGGAACGCTCTACACTTTACAGGACAACATCCCCTCTGAAGGAAAGACAACAAGGGCTGCGGAGGGGGATTGCACTGGTGCCCCTAGTGCTCCTTCTCGGGTATGTTGCTCTATGCCAGAACCAGCTGACCATATTCACGTACCTACTGAACAGGGACAGCACACCAAGTTCAGTTTCGCGCTCCTTTCGCACTCTATGTTGCCGTGTATGTTGATGTTTCGCATACTGGGTTCATCAAATTAAATTAAATGTTCTGTCCCTAAGCTACGATCATAGTTTCGTGTCCTTCCTCTGATTCGGGCACACGGCAGACCACTTCAAATAATAGGATAGCAGAGAGTGTAAGTTCAATAAAGCAATGAACTTCATTCCTTAAGACAATGTATTTTGTGTCGTTGATTTCTATTGTGTCGCCGTTTTGGGCTGACGTTACACCTTACCAAGATCTCCTCCAATCTCACCATGACTTCAATGGTAGGGCATGTTTGAGATTTTTCAAGATAACGAATTGTTTGGAGATTACTGCAAGAAAGAGGTTTTAAAAAGAACAACTCTGATCGAGAACGGTCCACGCGTGCCCGCTTGAGGCATGAGTTAATCAGGGTGCTTGATCGGTAGCCGTACTTGGCAAAGAAGCAAGAGCAGAACAATATATTATGAGAATCCCTAATGTTGTTATTCTCGAAATTTTAAATATTTGCTTTACATGCAAAGTCTTCTTACCTCCTGCATATTGAACGCATTTTCCATTTTTGCATGTCCCAACATGATTAAACAGTTCAGGGTCCCCACCTGTAAGATCCTGCAGTGAAAACGTCTTTTAAGTACACGTACCACAACTAAAAGGATTCACGTAGTATTAACATGTATCATAGATGGCGAAGCTTCCAGGATTGAATTCGTGTGACAAGACGATGTACAGGAAACCCAAGGTACTTCGATTATACGAAAATATGCCGCTGTCCCTCTGTACAAAGAAAAGCATTCTTTCTGGTAGGTAACACGGTCCCTGGAATACGTCAAGGCTACCATGATCAAAGTAGATATAGTACTCGGCCTCGTGGAATTAAAATTGACGCTTATAGAGCATCGCCATAAGAATAAAATCGCGATCGTTAGGGTAAGCTTTCTAGAAATGCGAGCAATATGTAGGTTTTTGTAGTCGTTGTGTCCGGGGTGTTAAAAAATGTGTAACATCAACCAGCTCGTCTAGTTCTTTACTAACTCTTTGTTCCAAAGTAGATTTGTTTCTCAAGAGGAACGTGGAGAAATCGTCCTAACATTTTTTGCAGTACTGACGCACCCATAGACAGCAAGCGCTGCCGATAAGGAATGAGAACGTGGCTTTGAATTTTGATTACACAGAGGCATACCGAGATTTTTGAACCGGGGAAATGAACCATTAATAACTGAGCAATCTAATTTTCTGAGAGCATGACGAAGCAGTTGCGATAGAATGCGAAAGTTTGAGAACGTGACGATACCTCGATCAAAAGATATTTGAGAAAAACTAACATTCTATGAGTCCACCCACGTCCACCTAAGCCTAATTTTATCGAAACAAAAAACGACATTGTGGGCTCCTCTATCATATATTTGAATAAAACAAGCTTGTCAGCATGAAAGGAAACAGTATTATCTTTGTGGCTGACAAGAGATTTTTACTCATAAATGTCAGCAGCGTTCACAATATAATTTCTTGTTTTGACGATATTAGGTTAGGTGGATGTCGGTTCGTAACAAAACTTTGTTTCTCTTTATTGATTTTTAGTCCAGGCAGCGCCATCTAGTAAAACTTTTGCCTTATACACCAACCACCAACTTCACACTCTCACGGAATGTGTGCTTTCTACGATGCATAGTTTATTCATCCGGTCCGAAAACACGGTACTCTCTCCACGGGAAATTTTGCATATCTATTTCTTCTCAAGAATCATATGGTATGCATTCGTTAGTTAATATCAATCTAGTTTTTATTCAATCAGTTTTTATGGAAAAGATTAAGAATCCTCTAGGTTAAACAATATTCTGGTGCAGTATATTTTCAAAAATAAATTGTCCTGAGCTGCAACACTGCAACATATTTTTTTGCGTAAATAAGCTATAGAATGTCGGATGTTTAAATATATATAATTACTGAAATAATCGTTTTACATATTAACGATATCACAACCGCAATGCTGAAGTAAGATTAAATCTTGACCAAGTACCTTACTGACACTATAGGGCTTCAGAAACGTTATTTTTGTCTTCTGTGAAAAAGTCTGTTATCGAGTATATACAGAACTGTAAGCGTGAATACACCAAAAGGGGGAAAAAAGATGCGTTCTTTACAACTAGATGACGTGTGCCTAATTTAATTATTTCGAAACCGCTGAAAAGACCGGAGAGAAGAAGACACAAATAACACGGACGGACGGTAACTTTTGACTGGTTTAATACGAATTTCAGTTCAAGCAATCCAAGCGGCTACCTAGCTGCTTACGGCAGAAAGCAAAAACTTACCTTTTACCCCCTCACAAAATGTACCTCGAAACTATTATTTGTACAAAAAATTCATTCAGTAACAAAACCTTGTTGTCATTTAATTAAATCGAATTCGTATCAACGTACTTGTCCCGAAATGGTACCAACAAACGCTTCAATAATTTTTTCCCGTTTTTCAAACAATTTTGTTTGTCATAACTACGGTTTGCATATCAAACGCATCCAGTGTACGCAAAGATGGCCCCATGAGATGTCAGAAAAAGCTCATTGACTCTCACGCACCTTTTTACTGAAATATTGCCGCTTTGGTCCTACGCACACCTGCCCATAAGTTATCGCGATTTCGGAAACAATATCCATGAGGTACCTTGTATATTAAGTAACGTGTTTCTTGAGTCACTGACCGTGGTTTTGCCTTGCCGTCAAATGACAACTTTTTTTACACGTTGCAAGTTGCTGAAAACACGACATTCAGATAATAATTACACCAAATTCTTGATGTTGAGTTTGATCTTGTGATGAATAACCTGTACTAACGATTTAGGCTGTATTGGGTGTTTTCTGTTGCAGACTCAAAATTATTTTTTGTTTTATCCGACAACACTGATGGACGTCGAAAAAGCTCGAAACAACTTCCCAGGGGCGAGTTATGTTATTTAAAAAAATAAATACATCCAAAAAAGCCATTGGTCATATGTAAAAATTATTGCAGTTAAGATGCTTGCGCTGAAAACATTATCGAGGTCCAATGAAACATTTTAATTAGCAGTGATATAAAAATTATGAATTCGTAACATTAAGCTCAACCTTCAAGTTGACTTTCTCACACAACGACAGCTATTAAGAGATTTCCTCCTTTGATAGATTTAAATACGGCTTGTTCTGAAAGAATGGGACTGTACAATCTACCTTTTTAAATTATCAGCTGCAATGAGCTGCGCAATAGTGTTTGACTTTTTCAATGAATGTGAATTTTATAGGTTCAATTGGTTTGTATGTCAAATGCACGCTCACTTGCCATTTGTTGAATGAGTCCTCACATTTTCTTAACAAAATGAACAAAACGTTAGATTGCATTAATAGTATTCTTTGTTTACATAAAATATTTATATCACCTCTTTTGAACAAAACCCTCGGAATAAAAAAAAAATAAAGATTAAATTTGATAAAAGAAAATGCAATAAACGTCATGCGCCCCTCTTGAACGAAAATATGCGTACCACGGTTACACCTTGTACTGCAGTTAGAGGTTAGGAATTAAGGGAATCAAAGGCAAACATAAGGTTAACAAATGTGTAGCCGTACTTACCACACACACGGTAGCATCTTTGTAATAACCGTAATACGTTTTTTTGTCTGGTTTGTGGCCACTTATGCAAAGGTAACTGCAACCCAACGCATATCCCGGCTAGTTGAAATGAAAAATAAAGGCTTGAATAAATATACAGTATAGTATAAAGCTAGATCAAGAAATAAGAACATTTAATTTTACATAGAAATGCTGAACGCGTATTTGTTTTGAATGTTTCAGTTTCTAACGGAACCAGAAAAAAATTAGTCATGAAATAATCCACACGGAAACAGCAATGAAGTGAATTGGTATTAATAGGCATACATGTTAAATAAGCGGGCTTGTTTTAGAAACCATTTTCTTTCACCACATGTAAATTTAAGCAAGCAAAATTTCGATGGACTTTGAGTATGCTATTCCTATAGGGGTAACTCTGATGTGTGGGGTTTCTATATATATGTTCAAAAACTCTTAGAATTATGGTATTCAGCTATTTGCCACTGCCAATTTAATTTATTAGGTTCTCCACTAAAAGCTTTCGTACCTGCTGTGAAGCAGAGGGCAAATGCGCACAGAAGAGCATCAAACTATACGGCAAGCAAAATGAACAAAAAAAGTTTATCAGCGCGTGAAAGAGGAGGCGATAAGCTTCGAGAAAGAATAATCACGTGTGCGACGAGGCGCCAACCCCTGACTCCATTTTTTTGTTGTTTAGCAAACGCCTCGGCTCTGAGTTTTTTGGGTCGTGCCTAGTACCTGCATGTCGACAAAAAACAACGTTCCTTTTGAAACTTTCGACAGCGGTGAAACTTTCGACAGCCGTAAAAAAGGGCAAGGCAGTCATTAATGTGTTAACAGACAGGATGGAAGCTTGGAGCCATGGAAGCTTGGAACAGCTTCGATGGCTCCAGCATGGGACAACATGGAAGCTTGAAACAGACAGTATTGTGCCTCGTATACAAAACACGCAGCCAACTGTATCTTAAAATCGGAGCTTGCTCCTTGATGTCACTGCACCGTCTATGCAAGAAGCAGACGAACTTGCTTGGTGGATACAAAGATCCACAGTAAAAAAAACAACATGTTGTTACATTTATTAGTTTCAAACAAATATCGGCGTAGATCAAAATATAACAACATATTCCGCGGGCTTCTAGAAATAGCCGAATAACGCGTATTTACGCGAAGTTTTAAATATACAACAGACTATATAACATAATGTTTGTAAGCCGCTGCTAGTGTAATTGATGCTGTTTTCTTTGGTAACAGGGTTTCACTCTGGAGCTGCAGTCATAAGGAGCCTTCTTTGGAAAATTAAAACGTTAAAGTATATATTGACGCATAAATTGGCATCAGTACCACGCTACACGCAGTAATTTAAATGGAGACACCATTTTCTGAATAGTTATGAAATGCATTTGCGTTTGTGATGCATATCGTGTATTTATATTATTTCTGGAAGAGAACTAGCGCAATGTTATGTTCCTTGTATTAGGTCACGTTATATTTTAAAAAAATACGTTTTATCAAGAATCCTACTGCTGTTGTTTCCGGTTTGACCAAAACGGAAAAGTCATTCGGAGTCGGTTCCTAAAGGAAAAAAAAAACTATAACTAAAACACATATCCAGTTCACTAAAATAATGGGAATAGGTTGGATGTTACGCGTGATAGACGCACCTAGAATGAGTTCAGAATAGCAAGAGTCGTGATCAGAGGTATTCTTTCGTGATGATAGGGCCGCTCCCCCTTATGGAGTTTTGAAATGAATCCATCTCTAGAGGTGCGCGTTTTGGGCGCGCACCCTAGCGGTCGGCATAACGCTCTAAAGCGGGTTGACCGAAATTTTGTTTTAAATAAAGGAATGTTTTCTTTTAAACATACATGATATTATACCCGTGTGATTGCATACTTTTACACGACATTTTGCCTTTAACGGAAATAAGACATTTTCGTATCGCCCCGAAATATATTAATCGGTTAGGCCATATCCATTTTTGGCGCAGTGGCACAAAGCTCTCTCACTTCACCTTGGTGTTTTTTACTTTGAGTAAGGTTGACAGATTACCTGTCTATATAGTTATAATATGCGTAAAGAAGCACCTAACCATTTACGTTTTCAAACATGAGACGAAAGTCGATAAGCCAACTGTCAGCCGAACGCTGTGGCAGCGCTCTTCTTATTGATTGGACATGAGTGACAGACGAACGTCATTTACGAAGGCATCCGTGTTAGTCCCGGCGGGAAGAAACCTTTAAGTGTTCAGAGAGACAGCGGCGCTCTGCTCCCTGCAACAAGCACGCTCCGGGCTTTAGAGAAAAAGAGCGCAAGAGATCGATGGAAAAGCAGAGAAAGAATATCAACACTGTTTGGTTCTCATTTGTCGCGAGCTTGAGCCAAGAATCTGTCTGTGCATCCGGACTCCAATTGTTCTGCTTTCCGCAAGCTTTGTTTTCTAAGGATTGGCCCCACATTACCACCGCATCTTTATCCTAAACTAATAAATCACGGACGACACCATTCGCACCACCCGGTCTCTATATGTGTACACAGTTTCTCCACACTAACAAATCATATTCTATTTAACTACTGTGCATGTTTAGCAGAAGAGTTGCAAAGGCGGTGGTTACACAGAATGGGGACATGGCATTACCGTAGGAACTGTCATGCCATTAACCCCTCAGTGAGCCGTCTGTTACCCTGTTAGCTATGGAAATGTTATTTTCAGAGATAGAACGCTGTTGCTGGAAATGACGTGGTTTTGAGGTATTTAAGTCAGTGTGTTTTTTACTAAACGTTCAGTTGCGAATACGCTTCGTGTTGTCGTTACCTTCTTTACTTTGTCCCTGTCCTTCGACGTTTCTATCGAGTTCTTTCGAAAGGCTTATTTTAATTTCCCTTAAATTTACTGGGAGTTATTAACACCTACGTTCCATGAATCCAAGCATTTTCTTGCTGTTTGCATGGTTATCAATCTCGCTGAAGTGGTTGACAAGCTTACCCGCGGCGATAATATTCTTGATCTGGCGATTACTGCGTCACACAATCTAGTTGAATCTAGTGTTCACTTGCCTGGTTTAGTGGTAATAGAGTAATACATATACTGTTACATAATTACATATATTGTCACCAGTGTCTAGGTTTATTCGTCATTTCAACAATAAAAATGATCAAACTGTGACAATGACATTTCAAAACTGTATTTCACTTCCTCTTACTCCTCGAATTTGTTGAGGGAAATTGGTTATCGCTTAAGTAAAAGTTAATTGAGTCGATTCATTCCTATTTACCTTCTCGTGTAATCGTGTGGTCTCTGGGCAACCTCGGTATAATAAAAGGCTGAAGGCACTTGAAGACAAAGAACAACGCCTTTATAAAACAAAAAACTGTATTAATGGTTCTCAGCGTGTGGGGGATGTTGCTGTGTTGTTCCAAAAAGAGTACACGTAACACTTCAAGAAGAGAGCAAGTAAAACCTCGATAAAAAAAAGATTCACCAGAACTCGCCCAACATTCTTAGACAGAACCCCCAATGTGTTTTGAAAAACAATTACGCCCAACTCGAGTACCCAATTAACCAAGTTTCAAGATGATGGTGGTGTTATTGTGCACGGCGAGCTAGCCCCGAATATAATGTGTGATTATTTTTGTTCATCTTCACTTTTGGGCCTTCAGATAACATTCTTTCCCTCCCTCCACTTCTCTTTTCCCTCATGTAATTGATCCCCGTCACAGCAGCTGGCATTCCAAAGATGGTCGAAAACCCGAACGTTGCTCCTGCTTAGTTCTTGACTCCATTAAAACAAATGAACTTAAAAACATCAAAGTGATCTCCAGTGACCTTCTTCAGATAATATTTAACCAGTCATCGTTTTCCACGAGACTAAAAGATAGACAGAGTTATCCGTGTCTACAAAAGCGGTTACGTTCGAAACCAGGTAATTAGAGCCAAACATCCCTCACAGGCATTGCATTCTAATATTTTGAGCACATCCTGTTTTCTAACAAGATGAATAACTTAACCGACAACAATTTCTTCTTTTAAAATCAACATGGCAGTCATCGGAGATATTCATGCGAAACCCAAGCCATTCGAATTTTCCTTCGACTCATATACTAACATGAAATTACGTACCAGGACAGATGCCATCTTTTTAGACTTCTCAAAAGCGTTTTGATTGTGTTCTTCACCTCACCTGATCTCAAAATATTCTCAACTGAATATCGATCCTCCAACTTTTTTTTTGGATCTGCAGATTTCTTTTATCCCGAGTCCAATATACGGTTATAAACTCATGAGGTGGCAACCTGACTTATGACATTTCGGGTGTCACCCAATACAATGTTCAGCACCTCGTTTTTTTTTCGTTTTTTTTAACATCCTCTTTAGCTTTGTCTCCTCTAACATACGTCTTTCAGCGACGATTGTGTAATATTTCGCCAAGTAAAATGTATTAACTATCATATTTTTCTTCAGAATTCACTTGAAAGCGTCATCAATTGGTGCTGAATGACTGATATTGCCAAACTGTTCAAATTGCAAGTTTTTTTGTTTTGTTTTTCCCGCAAGTATTCTCTCTCTAGTTTTCATTCATATTTAGGTTCAGAAGACATCCAACGCGTTGAATCGAATAAGCATATTGGTCTTCGCTCCAGCCCTAATCTCTCCTGGGCTTCTTTGACTGAATAAATGTTCCTGGGCACTTGGTTACATCCGACGCTGCCTGCACCCTGCACCTCCTGCTCTATGGCAGCTGGGCTAGGAGAGTTATGTTCGCCCAATGATAAAATATTCGGCTGGCAATTAGACTCCTTTTCCAAATCTACCTCATTAATACTCTTGAATCAGTTCAATATTTAGCTGCCCGATTAATCGTTCCTAACTATGAACGCGCTGCCAGTGCCTCGGTCATAAAGACCGCCTCTCTACCTCCCCACTTTCAATGCTCACCTCACAATATGACGTCTCTGTTTTTTTTCCTCAAGACTTTTCAATTGCCAGCGTCAACTCAGACAGGCTTGTCTCTTAGATCCATATCGGTTATCTCGACGACAGTTTAATTTCCTTAGCGTACGGCGAATCACTTGTTGCAATGGCAAAGGGCAGTGGCGTTTGT